AATACTTCTATACAAACTCTTCTGCCACAGGTGGTGGCAGAGAGGGAAACCAGCTTGCAGGAAGGGGGTGAGCAAACGGAAGACCTTGGCGTTTCTTTTGGTGTTAAGTTCTCTTTGGGGGACAGGCTCAGCACACGTCCCGGGCCTTTGCACACATTCCCACATCTGCCCCAGTGAGAGATGACAAATCCCGAGAGAAAAAGAGCAGGGTCAGCCTGGCAGGGGGTGGGGTGGGGTGGCAGGGGTGGTAATGACGAGGCACAGCGGGAGCAGCATTAGTCATGCAGGCCTTGCACAAGTGCCCAGACCGCAGCCTGAGGGGGTTTGTTTGGGTGTCTGTGGAGCTCCGGGGGACTGAAGGGTGCTAGACTCTGCCTCCACCTGCAGATGCATTCTTCTTCTGCGCAGAGGTGATAGTCCTGAGGCACAGGCTTGCTCCCGAGGGTAAATGAAGTCAGACGGCTTGACAGCTGTTAGCATTTCTCACACACACACACACACACACACACACACACACACACACAGCTCCCTCTCAGGCCTTCTGAGACCAGGAGTAACAGGGTTGGGGGAGAGAAAGGAGAGAAGGGACGAGAAAGAGCCCTGCTGGGGGCCAAGCGGGAGCTCGTCCCCGGTCTCCGTCACTTCCTGGGTGCTTCCGCTTTGGTGGTGGCCTCTGTCCCTCACCGCTCAGAGATTCTCTGTTCCCCTGCCTGTCACTGACCATCTGGGACTTTGTCACCCACTTGTTACCCAGCGCTGGGTCACGGGGCCAGCACCACTGAGGGCAGCACCCTGAGTCAAGAGAACTCCCGCCTCAACCCTGCAGGGTGAGGGTTCCCAGTGTGCGGCCTCCCCCGGGGCGTCGGGCCGGCTTCCACCGGGAACACAAGTTTGTCAGCCTCCCTCCCTTTCCCGCGCATTTGAACACGTGCAAATGTGTGATGCGTCAGCGCCAGTGGACCCTTCAGTGCCCCTTGACCGCTGGGGTGTAAAGTTCTGAGAGTCAGTGGAGTGCCTGAAAAGAGTGCATGTTACCGAGTCAGCAGAAGAATTTGAATGTAGGCCAAGCCAGTGAGGAGCTCCATGTTCTTGCTCAAGTTTCCCTCTTTTGTCTCCATTTCCTTTTTCTTTCTTTCTTTTTTTTTTTTTTTTTTTTTTTGAGGTGCTGGGAGGTCAGTCTCAGGCATGCTAGGCAAGGAATGTACCACTCTGCAGTCCCAGCCTCTTCATTTTCTCTTATAAAACAGCCAGGAGCAGGAGCATTGCCTGTAATCCCAGCTAAGCAGGAGACTGAGGCAGGAGGATCACTTGAGCCCGGGAGTTTAGGCACAGCCTAGGCAAGACCTCTTCTCTTTAGATAGATAGATAGATAGATAGATAGATAGGAAAGGCCAGGACAACTCTTTCCTCAGAGGATATTTGTGAGAATTAAGTGAGAAAGTAGTCAGTATTTGTTTATGTTTTGTTTTGAGACAGGGTCTCACTGTGTAGCCCAGGCTGGCCTTGAACTCTTGGCGATCTTCCTGCCTCAGCCTCCTAATTGCTGGGATTACAGGCGTGTGTGCCACCACCCCCGGCAGTACTAGATATTTGTAAATTAAAATTTTCCTTGTTATTGTTTTTTTTGTGGTACCGGGGATTGAACTCATGACCTTGCGCTTGCCAGGCAGGCGCTTATGCCGGTGAGCTAGATCCCCAGCCCTTTCTTGTTATTCTTACATAGCATTTAAGGTCCTCTGTACACTCTGGTTTCTAACCCAGCCACCATCATTTGATAAAGACATATTTGGTGCCCCTCTAAAGCATGGGGCCAGCCCAGGTAGGTAAAGAGTCACAACCCTTCCCTCTTAGAGAACATACCAGGCTCTCAGCTCTGCACCGTCCTGGCCCTCAGTACCTTTGATTCTTAGGAGTCCTCAAAGCCTAACTCCAGCCCTGCCTTCTCAGAGAAACTCCCCACAGCCCACGGCCCTTAGGACGGTCCCCTCCTGTCTGGCATTCTGGTTTCCCTCTTTCCTAGGAGGAAAGTTTCTCCCTGAACCTATCTGTAAGCTCTTCACAGACAGGCTCTGCGCCCTTCTTTGTGCCCTTCCCCCATCTTCCAGGCTGATTAATGCTTGAAATAATGACTGTCTCTTAAAGCAGTCTTCAAGAGCATTTAAATTCCCAACTCACTTTTGGGTGCAAAGGAACTAAGACCTTGTTCCTGATTCCTTCGCCTGAAACCCAGGCTGCCTCAGCTGTCTCCTACCTCTTTGCTGTTCTTTATTTATTTTTTTCCCATGGAAGACCTGGCAGGGAGACGTGAAGGTTGATGCTGAGGTATCACTAGACCAGGGTCCCCGGGACACAACTCCAGGCGGCAGCCCTGCTGCTGTCCAGAGACGCTGCTTCTCAGCCTGCCTGGAGGCTCCCCCTTGGACAGAAGGGTCTTCCTGGCTCCACAGAGGACCCCGGAGGGGACAGGGGGCGTGAGGGGCTCTTCTTGGCCTCTGCTCCCTGGTAGGGGAGAGGTTAATGGTAGATTGCAACACGTCTTTGGGCTGAGTCACCTGCCCTTCCCCCAGTTCAGTTTTATAAAGAGGACCAGAGGCTGGGAGTGCAGGGAAGTGGAGGCCGCCCTCCAGCCCTGCTGCCTTGGGCGCCCAGAAATCTGAGGTCAGGGAGCACAGCCAGCCCCCGGGGCTCTTGTCAGCTGGGACCATGAACTGGTGGTGGCAGATGTGGCTGGGCTTCCCGCTCCTCCTGACAGTCCCGTGCGGAGCCCTGGGGCCTGCAGGGCAGGAGGCAGCTGTGGTGAGTCCCGGGGGGTGAAGGAGCCAGCCAGAGAGCGACGGGGTAACCCCTCCGCAGCTCCCCGGAAGCCCGCCTCCTGTCTGCACACTGCCGGCCTTTCCCTGCTTCCCTCTCCTCCCTGGTCCTCCCCACCACCTCCTGCTCCTTCCTCTGGCTCCACCTGAGCGCATTCTCTAAGCTGTTCCCCCTTTAGTCCTTCCTTTCTGTCCCCGCCTCTCCTAATGGGCCTCTTAGGTCTCTTAGAACCTTTGCCTGGAGACTAACTCCCTGTCGCTGTGCTATCTCCCCACCATCATAGGATTACCTGCTGCAGTTTGGGTACCTGCAGAAGCCTCTAGAAGGACCTGGTAACTTCAGGCCAGGAGATGTCGCAGAGGCTCTGAGGTGAGAGGTCACAGGGTCAGAGCTGAAGTTGCAAGGTCTTGTCCCTTCGCATCCTTTCTTCCTCATGGCCCTGCCTCTGCCGGACCCAAATGCACACCGGGGCTCTGTGGATGGGTGCTAGCAATGTTGGGGTGGTGGCACATAGGGTGAGATGGGGATTCAAGATGAGGAACAGGGCGTGGACACAGCTCAGCAGCACAAGCGCCTGCCTGGCAAGTGCAAGGTCCTGAGTTCGATTCCCGGTACAAAAAAAAAAAAAAAAAAAAAAAAAAACAGATGAAGAACACAGTCATTGGATTTGCTAGGCTCTAAGCCCCCCTCTGCAGCGACTACTCCACATCACAACCCAAATACTAATATTGAGGTTTAGTGCACATGAAGTATGAGTTCCACGTCCAGCCAGGAATTGGGGTGTTAGGTGATGTTATCTTTTATGGGTACTGAACCCAGCCAACCTTTATTTCTATTTTGTAGTTTTCTTTTACATTTTTATAATGGGTTGTTTTTCTTCATGTTCTTAGAAATGTTTAGGTCCTTCGAAAAGCACATAGGCCCTATAATAGTCCATAGAGAGACGAGATTGCCCCACAGCAGGCTGGGCTGGAGGTGGGTCCAGCCAGGAGGAGAGAAGGCCAAGGAGGACAGGTCCTGGCGGAAAACTGAGGAGGAGGGGGTAGAATTTGCAGAGCGGGTCTGACCACCTCTCCAGAGGAGGAGAAGGTTAGAAATTGTAGTAGCGGTGGAAGCCTACACTTGGGGGAATTTTACTTGAATAAAAGACATTGACAGCTGGGCATGGCGGTGGCATGCCAGGAGGCTAAAGGAGGAGGACTGCAAATTCCAGCTCAGCCTGGGCAACTTAGTAAAATGCTGTCTCAAAAAAGGATTGGAGGGACTGGGGATTTAGCTCAGCAGCACAGTGCCTGCCTGGCAAGCGCAAGGTCGTGAGTTCGATCCCCAGTACCGGGGGAAAAAAAAAAAGGATTTGGGATGTAGCTCAGAGGGAAATCCTGGGGTTCAGTCCTCAGTACTGGGAAAAGAGAGAGAGGGAGGGAGAGAGAGAGAGACTGACAGTGAGAGAAGTTAGACTGTTGCCATTTCTACAGAACAGAAGAGAAAGTCCTAATTATGAGGACTAGAGGCTGGGGTTTTGTGCCATTCTTGGTCACCGCCTTGGGCAGTAGGACGCCAAAGAGCTCTCTCCAGTTCTTAGTCATTCTAGATTTACCTGCCCTGGTGGACCCGTCCCTCTCCCTCTTTCCAGAGCTTTTCAGGAAGCGTCTGAGCTGCCAGTCTCAGGTCAGCTGGATGACGCCACGAGGGCCCGCATGCAGCTGCCTCGTTGTGGCCTGGAGGACCCCTTCAACCAGAAGACCCTCAAATACCTATTGCTGGGTGAGGACGGAGCCCGGGAAGAGGAGGGCAAGCAGAGTTTGTTGTGGCTCTGGAGTGTGGTGGCCTCAGGACAGCCTGGACCAGCTCAGTGTTGAATGGATGATCGCCTGGTGATTACCTGGTTATTATCCGTCCAGAGGGGTTGTGAGTTCCCATACCCAGAGGAGCTCTCTGGGTTTGGGAGAAGGATCTGTGTTTCCAACCTAGAGAAGGATGTGTGTTTCAAATGTATCTTCTGGTCCATTAACTAGGGCGATGGAGGAAAAAACACCTGACCTTCCGCATCTTGAACCTGCCCTCCGGCCTCTCAGCCCACATAGCCCGGGCGGCCCTGCTTCGTGCCTTCAAGTACTGGAGCAGTGTGGCCCCCCTGACCTTCCGGGAGGTGCAGGCTGGCTGGGCCGACATCCGCCTCTCCTTCCACGGCCGCCAGAGCCCATACTGCTCCAACACCTTTGATGGGCCTGGTAGGTAGCAGTTCTCGGCTCTCGCCTCCCGGACTTCTGAGATTCCCTCTGTTTCTCTGAGTCGGTGACTTTGGAACCTTACTATTCAGGCTGATACCTCCTTCCCTGGCTTAAATCTCACCGAGGCATACGTGAGAGAGGGCTGGGCCACCGAGGAGAGGGAGGCTGGGAGAAGGGTGGAGTAGAGGGACGGTGCTGGGCATCTGGATGACGACAAAGGAACCTGAGAGAAACCCCCCACAGACAGGGAGCGCGGCCGGGGGCGTTTAAGGAAATGGAGCGCTCTGGGTTTATGATGGCAGGGTGCGCCCCAGGACTCTGGGCTCTGACCTCCCCGCGCGCCTTGGCTTTCTGCAGGGCGGGTGCTGGCCCACGCCGACATCCCTGAGCTGGGCAGCGTACACTTCGACGAAGATGAACTCTGGACTGAGGGGACCTATCGGGGGGTGAACCTGCGCATCATCGCCACCCATGAGCTGGGCCATGCCCTGGGACTCGGCCACTCCCGCTACACGCAGGCGCTCATGGCTCCGGTCTACGCTGGGTACCGACCCCACTTCAAGCTGCACCCGGATGACGTGGCAGGCATCCAGGCTCTCTACGGTCAGTCCTCTCTCTCGTGGGTGTGAGGGGCAGTCTGATCAGCACCTTTTTCCACTGAAAGAGGCAGGGCTCACATCCACGGAAGGAGGCGGCGTGGCTTCTTTTCCTTCCTTCGGCCCAGCTGCATAGGCTTCTTCACTTCCAGGAACGTATCTCACTGACTCTACCATGTATAATCTTCCTTCCAGGCCTTTCTCCCTTCATTTTCCCTTGGAGATGGAGATTGCAGATCCCAGGAAGCCTCCTCACCTTTTTGGTTGCTTCTCAAAAATTAAGAATGTGTCTTTTGCCGATGTCAATATGAAATTGTTGCTGGGCGCGGTGGCGCATGCCTGTGATCCCAGCACTTGGGAGGCTGAGGCAGGAGGATCGTTGCGAGTTTGAGGCCAGCCTGGGCTACAAAGTGAGCTCAAGGCCAGCCTGAACTGCATAGCGAGACCCTATCTCAAAAAGAGAAAAAAAAAAAAAAAAGAAATTGTCCACCACCAAGAAAAACTCTCTGAGTTCTCTGTATCCTTTCTACGGGAGCACTGGGCAGAGCGCGCGGTAGACAGGTGCTACCACGTCTCTTGCACAGCAGCACCATTTCATGTTGCAGGCAAGAAGAGCCCAGAGACAAGGGATGAGGAGGAAGAGATGGAGGTGCCCACTGTACCCCCGGTGCCCAGAGAGCCCAGTCCTATGCCAAGCCCCTGCAGTGGTGAACTGGACGCCATGATGCTGGGTGAGGCCTTTCCTCTCCAAGCCATAAACAGGCAGTGGGGCCAGGCGTTGACCTTAAGGCCTGGGCAGATGGGAAGGCCGTGAGGCCACAGCATGCGCAGCGGAGGTCAGACCCAGGGAGGGGTTGGTGACTGCGGGAGAAGACGTGTAGCACAGATAGGGAGGATTCAGAACTGAATAGACTATTTACAGTGTTTCTCAGAGCTAAAATGCGCTGAAAAACAAGGGGGAAGCCGGACACTAGATCCTCCTCCTCTGCCTTTACTTTTCTTCTTGAATGAAAATTGGATGAAGTTTTGAAGAGTCAGGCTGTGGGAGGAAGGGTACAGTATCAGCCTACCTGAGACACTGAGGTCTTTGTCTTTTTGGTTTTTTTTGTTTGTTTTTTTGGTGGGTACCGGCAATCGAACTCAGGACCTTGAGCTTGCCAGGCAGGTGCTTGTGCCGCTGAGCTATATCCCCAGCCCATGTCTTTTTGACTTGCTGACACATCTTTGCTCTCAGGGCCCCGTGGGAAGACCTATGCCTTCAAGGGAGACTACGTGTGGACGGTGACAGACTCAGGGCGGGGCCCCATGTTCCTAGTGTCTGACCTTTGGGAGGGGCTCCCGGGAAAAGTGGATGCTGCTGTCTACTCTCCTCGAACACAGTGGATTCACTTCTTTAAGGGTAAGGGGGCCGGGAATGATGGCGACGCCTGTAATCCCAGCATTTGGGAGGCTGAGGCAGGAGGATTGTTTCAAGT